GGGTGCCGGCACCCCCAGTGCCGGGGGGCTCGGGCAGCCCCGCCGCCGGCACATGGCCTAGCTGAAGGTCACTGTCCCTGGGGCCACCCGCCTGCTGGGGTGGGCAGGCTCGGTGCCCTGCCGCAAACTGTCCCTCTGCCACAAAGCACGGCGGTGAGCCCTCACCGCTCCGGCACGCTTTGCCGCCGGCACCTGGTTTTCGGGTGCCCCAACGGGTTGGGTGGCACTGAGCGGTTTCAGTGGCACTGAGCGGTTTCAGTGACACGGGAGGATCCCAGTGCCACGGGGGAGCAGCCAACGGTACCGGCAGTCCGGAAGGGCGAGCTGGCGCTGAGCTCACCAGGAAGGTGTCCCGTGGGCGCGGCGGTGACGCACGGCCCCGGCGCGGGGTGTCAGCAGGTGGGGGCTCAGCAATGACGCTGGTCCCACCGGGGCACCTCCTTCTCTGGGAGCATGGCCCCCGACTCCCGGGGCGTATCGCCCGGCTCTGGGGTAAGGTGGAGGCGAACCCCCAAATCTCAGGGCCCCAGTGGGTGGCGGGCCTCGGTGGGTTGTGCCAGGATCCAGCTGGGCCATATCCTGCCTCAGCTGATCCATAGCTGAGGGTTTTGGGGGTTCAGGGATGCTGGCACCCACCAGTCTGGAGCGTTCAGCCATCAGGTCAACCCCCAGAGGATTGTAAGTCATCACCATGGCGGGGCGTGACCCCCCCTCAGTCCCAAACGCTTCCCAGACCTCAGGGGGGTCTCCACACCCCCTAACCACGCCTCTCTCCCCCCCCAGACCCATCCTGTGCCCCACCGGTGCCGGGGAATGCCGGCATGCCGGTGCCCACCTGCCTGCAGCGCCCTGCCCTGAGCCCGGTGCTGGAGCCCAGCCGTGCCATGGAGGAACCAGCCGGTGGTGGGGCCGAGCCATGGGCCGAGGGGCTGTGTAACAGCAACAACAACGCTTCTCTGGGGGGGTGGCCGGGTGCCCGTGGTGGGCACCCCCTGGCACCTTTTGGCAGCTCCGGGGCTGAGCCCAGCTACCTGGGGCGGGTGGTGCTGGAGATCGTGGAGTCAGAGCGCACCTATGCCCGCGACCTGCGCAGCATCGTGGAGGTGAGTGCTCAGAGAGGGGGGGACACCCCTCGGATGGGGTTTTTGGGGGGGGGTCCTGGGTGGTTGCACCGGTTCCACAACTGCCAACCACGGGTGCCTGGCAGGGTTACCTGGGCAAGATCATCGATGCGGAGGAGCCAGTGCTGCGGCCAGAGCAGGTCAGCGCGCTTTTCGGCAACATCGAGGACATCTACGAGCTCAGCAGGTGGGTGCTCCCGGTGCTGCCAGGGTTGGGGACACAGCCGGTGCCACCCCTGGGGGGCGTTTGCCATCACCTTGTCCCCTCTTTCTCCCCTAGCACCCTGCTGCAAAACCTGGAGAGCTGCGCCAATGACCCTGTGGCTGTGGCTGTCTGCTTCGTCACCCGGGTAAGGGTGGGCACAGTGGGGGGCATCGTGGAGGGGGGTGTGGGGCCGTGCTGCACTCTCACCATGCTGCTGCTGCCCGCAGAGCCAGGAGTTTGCCATCTACACACAGTACTGCAACAACTACCCCAGGTGAGTAGCTGGGGGGGTGCAGGTGGGCAGGGGACAGGCAGGGCATTGAGCCTGCTCCCTGCCCACAGCTCCGTGGCAGCACTGGCCGAGTGCATGAGGAGCAAGCCGCAGGCTCGGTTCCTCCGTGAGTGCCAGGACCGGCTGCGACATGCGCTGCCCCTCGGCGCTTACCTGCTCAAGCCCGTCCAGAGGATCCTCAAGTACCACTTGCTGCTCCAGGTGAGTCGGCACCCGTCGCAGCGTGGGCATATGACACAGAGTGGCGTGAGCACCCAGCAGCGTGCTGGCACCCAGTGCAGTCAGGGTGCCTGGTGTGGTGTGGGGATGTGGCAGAGTGTGAGTTCCTGGCACGGTTCAGGGAGCTGGTGTGGCACAGGTACCTGGCACAGCCTGGGTGCCTGGAACAGCACATTTCCCTGGCACAGCTTGGGCACTCGGCATGGTGTGAGCTCACGCCACGGGCCCTTCACAGATCACAGAATCATCTCAGTTGGGAAAGCCCTTGAAATCCTCCAGTCCAACCAGGAACCTCACACTGACCGTTCCCAACTCCACCAGATCCCTCAGCGCTGGGTCAACCTGACTCTTCGACCCCCCCAGGGATGGGGACTCCCCCCCTGCCCTGGGCAGCCCATTCCAACGCCCAACAGCCCCTTCTGCAAAGAAATCCTTCCTCAGAGCCAGTCTAAGACTTGGCGCAGTCTGGGAGATGGCACAGCACAGGCACCCAACACAGCACATCTCCCTGGCACAGCCTGATCCCCTGGCATTGCATGGGCACCCAGCATAGTCCAGGCACCCAGCATAGTCCAGGCACCCAGTGTGGCGTGAGCTCATGGCACTGTGCAGGCACTTGGCACAGCCTGGTGCAGGCTTCTGGCATGGCACGACTCCCTTGCACAGCCCAGGCTGCTGCCATGGCATGGGCACCCTTCCCTGGCACAGCCCAGTTTGCCAACATGGCACGGGCACTCGGCATGGCACATTTCCCTGGCACAATGCACACACTCAGCGTGACACACATTGCTGGCATGGCACACCTCTGGCACTGGGCACCATACCTCTATCGGTGCTGCCCTGACACGGCGTCCTTTGCCGGCAGGAAATCGCCAAGCACTTTGAGCACAAGTCAGGTGACGACTACGAGGTGGTGCTGGAGGCCATCGACACCATGACCTGTGTCGCCTGGTACATCAACGACATGAAGCGCAAGCATGAGCACGCCATCCGCCAGCAGGTCGGTGCCAGCAACATGGCGGGTGGCACCGGGTGGGCACCACAGCAGCGGGTAACCTGACATACCTGTCCCTGGGGGACCCGTGCAGGAGATCCAGTCGCTGCTGCTGGGCTGGAAGGGGCCAGACCTGACCAGTTATGGGGAGCTGGTGCTGGAGGGCACCTTCCGGGTGCAGCGGGTGCGCCATGAACGCTCCGTCTTCCTCTTCGACAAGACCCTCCTCATCACCAAACGTCGTGGTGACCACTACGTCTACAAGAGCCACATCCCGGTGGGTGCTGGGGATGGGAGGGCCCGCGGTGCGGGGTGCCTCCATGGTTGGGGGGTGCTGATGGCTTCTCCCCACAGTGTTCTTCGCTGATGCTGATTGAGAGCACGCGGGACTCGCTTTGCTTCAGCCTGGCTCATTACAAGCACGGCAAGCAGCAACACAGCCTGCAGGTAGGGGGGCACAGGGTGGGGGGCACCCTAAGGACC